TACTTTTAATGATCTTCTGAATCCTCCTGTGGATAGATATTCCTGCCCACAGATCTGCCCAAAGCCCACCACACTCTGAGGAGCATCATGGCACAGCTGGTGCCTCCAAATGTCATTTGTCCTCGAGCAGGGAGCAGAACAAATATTTACTGTCAAACCCCAGCAAAGCAGGAACTGGGGAGTGGGAGGACAAAACCTCCTTCCCAGATGGGGCCAATACAGGGAGAGACACCCAGGCTGCTCACCCTGCTATGTGAAAGCCAGTCCAGGGTATATTCAGGTGTTGCAGAAGACCAACAGCTCTGGTTTTTTGTGATCCTGCAAGTCCAGGGCAGCCAAGACTCTGCTGGGAGGAGGGATGTCCCTATTGCAAGGAATAACAAGTGCTCTTGAGGGGAATAAGGGCTCTTAGCAGAAATGAGGTATTGGAAGAAAACTCAAATTGGGGGGTTGGTGATTGACACAGCAGTTGGAAAAGCAGAGGCTGCCTCCACAGGAACAGGGTGGTGGGGGAGAAATTGAGCTGCTGAGTTTGTGATCACCAGGGCTGTGCTGTATTATGGCAACAGAGACTTTCTGGGGTAGAAGTAAATCAGTGTGCAGGTTGGGACTTGAGGCTGGAGCTGCATCTCGGAGGGTTTGCTCCAGCTCAGCTCTCCCTGCAGTGGGACACGTCTGTGCACACACGAGCAGGGGCAGCATCTCCCTCTTCTGCTGGTCCTGTTGAACTGGTTCAGGGGGCTGTGACCTGCACCAGCCCCCACAGACCCACAGGGCCACTGGGGCAGGTCACAGCTCCACATCACCCCAGTGGGACCCCCATGCAGCAGCCAGCAGAGGCAGCCCTGGGGCTCGCTGCAGACCGGCCCCTGGGCTGGTGGAGCAGCACGGAGCAGCTGCTCTGCTCTGGGGAGGATTTTCAGGTTGTGCCAGGTAGAGGAAAGCAGCAAATCCTCCCCCCTGGAGAGGCAAGGGCCGAGGCTGCTCCTCCTGTCTCACTTGTTGGGAGGTAATTGTGCAATCTGGCAGCTCACATGCAGCACCCACAGCAAAGCCAGCACGGTGGAGAACAGGCACTGGGCTCCATTTTAGGGCAGTCTGTGCCATGTTAAGTCGTGCAAATAAATACCCAGAAAAAAAAAAAATCCCTCAATGTACCAAAAAAGCCCTCTTCAAACTGCCAAGTGGAGTGCATCAGCAAAGAGCATTAGCTCCACAATGGCCTGTGAAATATTCCTGGACCACAGATTTTCCATGACTGATCAGGCAGTTTTTCTGAGTACAAACTTGGTTTATAATTCTAAAATTAGACCAGGAACATAGCAGGGTAGCCAAGGAAAGAAAGTTTGTCTGGTCAAAGCAGCTCTGCCTGGCAATCACCCAGAGAAAGGTGTGTGACATATCCAGCCTGGAGTGAGCAGCTCCAGCACTGCTGATGGGGAAATACCTGCTGGTAAATCCACTAAGCTTCACTGATCCCACAGTCACTATCCTGCCTTTTTCTTTTCTGCCTTTTTTTTTTTTTTTTTTTATGTCTTAAGCTCGTTTAGCTAATGAGCTGCTTTATCCTCCTGAAAGGAGACAGGGCTCAGGGTGGGGATGTGCCCACTGTGAGTGTGCCAAGCAGTGCTGGGGATGGCATTGAGAAGCCAGGAACTCCCTGGGGACCAAGGCATGGGGGTTGGCTGTGCTGTCAGAGCCAGTTGTCCAAGTCCATCCCTCCCCCAGCCCCCTCAGATGGGACAGAAAATAACCTCCCTGCTGCTTTTCCTTTCCCCAGCCACAACAGGAGCATCCTACCCAAGGAGTGATGCCATTGGTACCCAGGAGATGCTGGGGGCTGCTCCAGCCCCCTGCATGAGAGCAGACATCCCAGGGACCCTGTGCCCCAGGCTGGAGCCCTTGTCCCACCCTGAGGTCGAGGGATGCAGAGAGCAGGTGAGCAAAGCCACAGCAGCCAACAGCAGCTCAGCCCAGGTCTTGGGCTTCCCAAACCCTCCAGATTGAGGGTTGGATGAGGAGTTTGCCTCTGGTTCCTGACACTGGGGCTTTGTTTGCAGAGGGCACCTGTCACTTTGAAATACTCCCAGCCCTGCTGGGATGCCCAAGGGCTGCTCCAGCCCTGCCACAGGGCTGCATCCAGTACCATGGGCTCTCCATCACAGTGACAGCTCTGCAAAGGGCTCTAAATGAAATCCCTGTCTCAGGGAGCCAGCTCCACACTGAGGGACTCTGTGCTCTGGGCTTCAGCAGTAAATCTCCCTCAATAAATCCTCCAGAGCAGGGCAGAGGAGCAGGGAGCTGTGGCTTCACACCTTCACCCATCCACAGCGGGTGAGAGGGAGCAAAGCTGAGCTCCTCAGGGAGCCTGGGCTGTTCAGTGGGGCTGTTCTGCTGCAGGAAAAGGCTGAATCCTGGGAAAACACACATGGGGAGCCATGCTCATGAAGATCTCTGTTACCATGTGTGTGCACAGAGGAGAGCCGAGGTCCTCGCCAGCTTTGCCACAGAGTGGCTGTTCCACCTGCAGGCAGAGATGGGTTCTGGCATCTCAAAAACCACCAAAACTGGCAGCTTTTCCCTGCTGATTGGATCTGCAGCAGCTCACAGGTCCACACTCACCTGAGAGCTCAGAGGAAAACAAAATGAGGCATAAACCCCAACCCTGGTGGCACCACAGCCTCAGCTGTGCATGGAAGGTGAAGCTGCTGCCCCGAGCCCTGCCCCAAATCCTGATTTTCCTGCAGCACTGAGTCACAGCTGCAGGGACCCAGAGCCAGCACCGAGCACCTGGGCTGCCCCCACACCTCCCACCTCCCACCACAACCAGCCCAGCCCTACCTGGCCCCAGTCCCAGCCAGGGTGTCACCTGCCCGGGGTGGCTGGGCTGAATCCTGTCTCTCCAAATGCTGGGTGAGCCTTGGGGAAAGGGCTGAACCCTTTAGCACAAGGAGGGCAGCACCTGATCCACAGCAGCAAGAGCAGTGGGAGCACACGCAGCCACCAGCTCCTCTGCTCCCAGTTTCAATCCCTTCCCAAATTGCAGCACTGGAGAATGCAATGGGAATTAGTGCCTGGGTGCTTCAGAGCCTTCCCAGCTGGCACTTGGGGTGTCAGTCCCGTGATGGCAGTGCTTGATCTCACCAGCTCCCTTCAGCCCTGGGAGGTGCTTTGCCCAGGGCAGAGCCAAATTTAGGACTCAGTGATCACAGGAAGTGCATCCATTAACATCAAGAGGGTTTTTTTCTGTTTTGCAGTAGAGCTACACGTTATTCCCCCTGGCTGGATTTTCAGCTGTGGCTCTTGGGGCTGAGATCAGTTCCCAATCCCATTTCACAGTGGCAGATCCTGAGCTGGACGAGCCACACCGTGCTTTTATTTGCTGGGTTACATCACCCAGCCCTGGGAACGGGTGGGTTATGCCCAGGGAAGCAGAAGTAATGAAATTTTTAGAGAATAAATGTTACAGTGCGCTCGGGCTATGCTTTTCCCCATTTCCAGGGACCCGTGTGACTCTGATAAGAGTGTCCCCTCCTTCCTGCTCTAATGGGGTTGGTGGAGAGCCAGAAGAGCCCTCCCTGTCCAGAGCCCAGATAAGCCCCTGACCTTTCCTGTTCACTCTCTTTCCCCCTCTCTTTCCCCCCAGATCTCATGGAATAAAGAATCTGGACAACCACATCGGGGTGAGAGCCTCTTTTGAACCTTTGCCCATCTCCTGATGTTCCTCCCCTCAAGGCCTCGTATCTCTGGGCTAACCTAATAATTTAGGGGCTGAGAGAGGTAGAAGCATCAAATGAGATCTCTACTCTGCATCAGATTTGCTCAAAAGCCAAAAGAGAGGCTCGGGGATGCTTCGTGTTCAGGCAGCTGCTCGCCGACCCGAGCGTGCCGAGCGCGCTGCTTGTGCTTGCTGGCGCGTGCCTCGATTCTTTTGAAAATCAGATGCTTTAGGGGAAACTTTCTTCTTCCAGCTCTGCGTGCCCACATCTTGCATATGCAGGCGATCTGGCACAGCCCTGCTCCACATGCAGATAAAGGCAGGGGCGGGAGCCGGGCTGGGAGCGCGCTGGAAGGCAGCACAAACCTTCCCCGTGGGGCCACAAAGGCCTGGCCACTCTTCACTTCCCAGCTGCACAGGGCAGGTTTGCTCCCTGGGCATCTCTCCGTGGTTGAAGGCTGAGTGTCCAGGTGCTTTGTTGGGATTGGAATTATTCATCATGGCTCAGTAACCCAGATTGATTTTGGGGGGAGAAGTTCCCACGAGGAGATGCTGAACGCATTCACGTGGAAGTTCTTCTTTCCCAGTGTGGTTTTGGTGGTTCCAAAGGACCCCATGGATGTGCCCATGACAGCTTCCTGCAACTCTTGGCTCTGGACATCACCTCTCCTGGTTTCTCTGTAAAATTGGGTGAAAAGCTCTGTTGGATGTCTCCCAAGGGTTCAAAGAGGCTACAGCCAGTGAGGCCATGCAAGAAGCCTGGGTGAAGACAGTGAGGTAGCCCAGTGCTGTGTGTTGCCTCTGTAAAAGCTGTGCCTGGTGCCAGACAGAGAAGGGATGCAAGGGAGCATCCCATCAGGTTCAAGCACCAGATCTGCTGTGAATTTCCCCTTCATCATACCCCATGTGGTCCCAACACAAGTTCTGCAGTCTCTTCTTTATGCTCAAGAAGATGCCCTGCCCCACCTCATCCCAGAGAAATGCAATTTAAACAGCTCAACAAGTTGAGGAAAAGCTTGATTTTCCAGCTGGGCTTCTCCTGGTATCTCAGACATGCTCTTTGCTGTGCTCAGTGCTGAGGCAGGGTGGACAAAAATGCATCCCATGGTTTAGCAAATGATTTCTCTTCATAGCTTTTGGCTTTGTCCTTTCCAGAACACCACATGCACCAGACACATCTCTTTTGTTGGACTTTTTCTGTTTTAGGCTGAAACCTGAATAATTTGAAGCAAAAGGACATCCTTGCACTGGACACAGCCTGGTGTGTGGCTCAGCCCTGACCATGACCACAGAGAGTTTTGCAGAGTTCCTGAATAAGCTCAAGGAAATCCATGAGAAAGAGGTCCAAGGTAGGGAGACAAGATTTTCTTATCAAAACCTGGCCAAGATCCATTTCTCTGTAATACCACCTTGATCCGTTTGGTGTCAAATAACCTGAAGGGAGGAGGAGGAGCAGGTGTGGATTAGGGAGATTTGGGGATTAGTGCTGAGCAAGCAGCACCTACAGGGATGGTTTGGGACATGGGGTCACAGCCTGTGCCTCAGGGGAGAGCACCCACTGATGGCACATTTGTACCTCTCCTTGGAAAAAGTAACTTTTGAATGAGGAGAAGGAGCAGAAGAAAAAGGACATTCCTGCACTCCATGCTGCTGGAAAGGAGGCCATGGAGGAGCTCAGTCCCTGCAGGAATCCCACTTGCTCCCAGCATTAACCACGGGGGATTTGGCTCCTTTCCTGCCCCTGCTGTCGTGGGCTGGTGAGCTGGGGGGTTTGCAGGGGTGCACACACACCTGCTGGGCATCTGCTCCAAGCAGTGAGGACTGGAGTATATCTGGAGACTGAGGGATCAAAGGGAAAGCAGAAAGATGCAATAATCTGTAAGGCAGAAGCAGCAGGAGGTGAAGCTCTGTTAAAGAAAACGTTTGAGTCAGGTTGGATAGCTTATTCCTCTAGGGAATAAATTATTTCTCAGGCCATACATTATTAAAATAAAACCCATTAGGTTAAGTAACCCAGTGCCAAGTCCAATTGTTTTCCTATTAGAATAATTCCCAGTATCAATATTATGAACAAAACTTCAGCACTTTTGGATGATTCTGGCTTATGAATTCATTCTTCTCTTGTGTAATTTCAAGCCATGTGAGAGTTAGAGGAAACTGTTGAGCAATTTAAACCACATGTTTATATCTACTTTGCATAAAATAGATTTGACAGGATACAATGTCTGCAGATCCATCAAGGAAAGCCATTCAGCTGTAAATATTCTCCAAGATGCTTTCCAACCATGAAAGCTATAAAATACTGCCCACCTGGGAAATGTGAGCTGTAGTGAGAAATGAGTAGAAACAAAACCAAACCAGACTTTCTGGGGCTGCAAAGGAGATGCAGACTCATTAAATAGTGGGGCTACAAGACGAGCTCACACTTTGTACAACTTCCCCAGTTCCATTAAACTGTGATTGTGTTTAACACGTGCAATGTGTTACTCCTTATTGGAGATAAGGCCTGTGAATGGATGAGATTTCTGCAAAGCCATGCACCTTCCTGGAATTCCATCAGCATCGTTTGCTTCTGAGTGCTGGGGAATTGGCAATAAACACCCAGCTCTGTGTCTGCTCTTCATTCCAGGCCTGCACAGCAAGGTGGCGGAGCTGACGACAGAGAAGTGCCGGTGAGCCGTGCTGGGGCAGAGGGGCATCAGCAATTTCAGAGTTACACCACTGCAATTTCAACTTCCTGAGTTATTCTCCAACGCTTCTGGATTAGAGAGCACCATTTGCCTCTCTGGCACTGCCAAATTCAAGCTTTTTGGCTGCAGGCAGGGTTTGGGGTGATCCCAGCCCAACTGCAGTTTGTTTTCCCACTGGCAGGTGATGCTTGTGCCACCCGGTGCTTTCTCCCTTGGAAAACCATAAGTGGGAGGAATTAAACTGCTAACTCCAAGGGCATCATCCGGGCTCCAACACATTTGTTTCCCCTTCTGCCACACAAGAATGATGTGGATGAAGGCACATGTTTTGGGAAGAAATCTAATAACCCTCCTTTCTTTGTTCTGTTTCTTCAACCAGTGATGCTCAGAGAATTGAAGAACTGTTTGCTAAAAATCACCAATTAAGGGAACAACAGAAGGTCCTTAAAGAAAATGTAAAGGTGTTAGAAAACAGGTAGGATTTGTTTTTAAGTAGGGTGCTGCTGAGTGGCAGCGACTGCACAGTCCTGGGGGAGAGTTTGGGATTTGCTGTCTTCCCAGGACTGGGATGTAGCACATGAACCTCTATTTTTCCCATACTCAGCTGCTGAGAGAGCTGGAGGAGTGTGGGCACATGCATAGGAGCTTTCCTAGGCTGCTGGTGGTGGGGCTGGGTCTGGAGGGGTGCAAAGGCCAGTGCTGGGCTGTGGGGCTGATTCTCAGTGATGCTTCGGGTGTTCACACTTCCCTGTGGGGAGGGCAGGATTTATTTCTCCCATGGAAACCGTGTGGTAACAAGCTGTGGGGTTTCCTTCCTCCAGACTGCGAGCTGGTCTTTGTGACAGATGCATGGTCACTCAGGAGCTGGCCAAAAAGAAGCAGAATGAGTATGAGACCTCTCATTTCCAGAGCCTGCAGCACATCTTCATCCTCTGTACGTACTGACACCCACTAGGAGCTTGGCTTTGGCATGCTGAGTCTTTGCTCTGTTAATCCCTATCCCAGATATTTGTATGTGAGCCCTTCTGGTGAGCTGGGAAGGGTTTGGGGATGGGGAGAAGGGAGAAGGGAGGGACTGTGGAGACATAACCCTTCACACAAATCATCAGAGCTGGGCGTTGCAGCCCCCCACACCTCCAGAAAAATGAGAGATTCCAGGCTGTGTCAGCTGCCTGGGAAAAGGATGCAGTTGGCACAGCAGAAGCAACACTCTGGCAAAGACAGGAAAGTCACAGCAGCAGCTCAGCACGGGCAAATGAAATCAAGCAACACGTGTGATGGATCTTCTCCTGAGCCTTTGGCACAGCTCCCAGCACCGCTGAGGCACAGCGTGTTTCTCCCCAGGGATCTGACCAGCCCAGGGAGGGTCATGGGGGTAAAGGAGATAAGGCATTTAGGAGGGATGGAGAGGTGCCAAGAGCCCTTGCTTTATCTCCCCTGCTATGCCACTGTTCCCCGAGTGCTGCTCTCGAGCAGGAGCAAGGCAAAGCACCGTGCCTGGGAGCCCATCCGTGCTCCCATGGCCTCCTGGCTGCAGGACCCAGTGCTGGGTGCTCACATCTCCCTCTGGCCTCCATCTGATCCCCCCGAGACCCCCAGCCCTCCCCCCAACCCAGCACCCACCCCAGGCTGCCCTGGTGCTCAGGATGCTCACCGTGCCCAGCCCAGCGCTGCCTCGCCCGGCTCTGGTCGTGCTCTGCCCTGGGCTGGGTGACCCGCAGGCAGACCCAGTCCTGATGAAACCCGAGTCAGAAAGTTGCTCCCTTTCATCCCTTAGCCCCAGCAGGTTTACAAGGCAGGAAGGGAATTCGGCATCCCTCTAAAAGTCGGTGCCATTCCCTCCTCCTCCCCCGGGCAGCCCAGCGAGCTGTGAGCAGCATCCTTGCAGCATCTGAACTCACAGCACCGCCTCTGTCCCTGCAGCAAACGAGACCAACCGCCTGAGGGAGGAGAACAAAACTCTCAAGGAAGAACTGAAGAGGCTCCGGAGCCTGGAGTAAGCTCTTTTCTGGTTTCATTCTTTACAAGGGGAATTGGCAACAACCAGGGCATCCCCAGAGCCAGGCAAGGCAAGGTCCAGACTGTGGTGTCCTCAGGGGTATTTTAGCATCTAATTCCCGTGGGTTCCTGTGTATGTAAGACATGGAAAAATCCCTAATAGTCTCAAAATCCTTGTTGACCTTTACTCCCTATTCACCAGCATCCAGTGATTAATTTTTGGGGAAGAAAGATACTTAACCCCCTGGAAACAAAGCCCTAGGCAGCTTGCATGGACCTCAGCCTGGAATTCCATGGCTTTTTCACACCACCAGCTCCCCTCCTGCAGCAGCCAGAGAGGGTCTGCAGGAAGCAGGGGTTTGGGGGAAGGAGAGTGACACACAAGGGACTGTGATGGGGTTAAAATGGGAGAAGTGATCTGCACCAACAGGTTCACAGACCAGCAGAGCGCTGTGCTGCAAGCCAAGTAACTTGCCAGGCTAGCCAATATATACAAATCAGCTCATTCCTCAAGGGTTTAGAGTCCAAAGGAATTAGCACTGAGGGATTAGTTTAGAACTGTGTTTTCTTTGGAGCACAGGAGCACCATCCACTTAAAGAGGAACTCTGGCTTTTACTCCCCAGTGCTTCCCAAGAGCTGAGTAGCTCCAGGCTGGGCTGGGCTTGCTGAGCACTGAATGATTCTGCTCTGCTCTCCCCTGAGATGCTGGACAGGAGGATTTCCAGCCAAACATCCACATCTCAGCATCAGAGCCCATCCAGGGCTCTGTGCGTGTCTCCAAGGCTCAGGCACTCCCTTGTGTGAGAGCATCACCCTCTCCATCCTGGTTTGGTGACAGGGGGCAGACACCACGTCCCTGTGCTGAATCCAGCCCTCCATCAGGCTGGAAGCCCAGCCAGGGACAGGTTCCCACAGAGCTTTTGCAATAGCCACAGCTGGGTGCTGGCTTAGCCAACACCGTGGCTTCCTGCGACCTTACCCACAACCAAGTGGGGCAATCACAGCCCAGGCTGTCACGCTGGCTCTGTCCATGCTCCAGACTGCAGCTGGGCTGCTGATAAGCTGCAGTGGAAGGAGGTGAGTCTGAGGATCCGGAATGTCCACATCCACACGTACATAAATATGTATCTTTGTATATCAGGCTCAGAGCTCTCAGTACAGAGGCTCCAAAACCTTCCTTATCCTGCCCCTTCTCATTCATTCGTGTCCTTTTCCTTCCCACAGGGACAGGACAAAGACCCCAGGAGTCTCCTCCAGAGAAAGCTGCTCCACACCAAGCTCCCCTTTGACTTTGCTGTCCCCAGCGAGCAGGAATGTCAGCACAGAGAAAGCAGAGCACAGGGAAGCAGAAGCCCAGCAGGACCTTGAGCTCAGTGAAGGTGGGTGCTGCTGGCTCCTGCCACCCTTGAGGGGTGAAAAGTGACTGAGCCATGGTGCAAAACTCTGGGAAAGGGTCTGGAGAGCAAAAACCAAGCTGTTGGCAGCTCAGATGGACATTGCCATGAGCAGAAAAGCTGATGGGGGGAAATGCAGGTCAAGGGAGAAACACCCTGCTCTGCATTAGAGCAAAAGAGTGCTTGGTGCCCTCACTGAAACACAATTCATGCAGAGACCATGGCATTCCCTTCCTGCCACCCACACATGCAGCGAAAGGCATGCTCAGTCAGGTGCTGGCTTGAGCCAAAAGATAATTTTGACTCAAAATCTTCACTTAGAGGTGGTTGGAAGCAGCCAGTGGCATCCCTGGGAGGCTGCATGGCTCCAGCCCACTGCAGGGCAGGGCTACAGCAGCTCTGGGGGACCATTATGGCAGCTGCTTGTGTCCTTTTTTTTTTGCAGAAAAGCCTCCAGAGAAGCTCCAGAGAAGCTCTCCAAGCAGCAGGACTTCTCCAGGCACTCTCCTCCAAGAAGTCAGCCTTGCAGAAATAGTGAGTTGGCAGAGGTAGCCTGATGTCCTCAGGCCTTCTCCCCACTGCTGTGGTCATCTGAAGTGGATCAGGACAAGCAGATTGGAATAGGGAAAAAGTAGGAGGCCCTTGGGGGTGGAACAATGAGCCAGACCTGGCATTTTCAGAGGGCCTGGCAAGGACAAACACAGAGAGGGTGTCACTCAGGCTGCTGAGTGATACAGTGACACTGGGCACTGGGAGATGAGACTCAGGACCTGGACCTGTTCCTGGGCACGGGAACACAAGCCCACGTACACACCCACACAGATTCTTCTGTTTTGGCACAGCTTTTGCTTAATCGACCTCCACAAAAAACTTGAAAGAGCAGGTGAAAAGGGGTTTTGGTAAGGCTGCAGGGGATAATTAATAGGGATGACAGGAAGGGTTGGTGACATCTCCAGGTGGGCAGGGGAAAGTCAAGTCAGAACATGTGGTGAGCCTTTCATGACAGCTGATGGAGACAACGATGTCCTGGCCCAGGCACTCCACCAGAAATACACCCACCAAACCAGTGTGTGCCTGGAGCTTGCATGAATCAAGTCTTGCATGAGGAAAAAGGCCTGACTATGGGACAAGGAGTTTGCAGGGTCTTAACTTGGTTAAGCCACTGAATCGTGACTTAAGAGGAGATGCAAAACTTCCTGTGCTACAAATCAGTGCAGCCAGAAAATGGAGAGTCCATGAAGGGAAAATTTCCTGGAAAAATGAATAAAAAACTTGATACAGCTGTTGACCAGAGCCATATCAAGCAGTGCACTCAGGAACTGTCTGTCTTGCTGTCACTGGTGAGGAGATGTGTCCCAGTCCACACTGCAGAATGGCCCACCTGGACTTTCTGTCCTCTGCCACAGGCATCCCAGAGGATTTCCAACCAGCTGCATGGAACCATTGCCCTGGTGAGACCTGGCTCCAGACCCTGCCTCCTGGAGAAGAGTCCTTCGGGGGCAGCAGTGTCTCCACCAGCAAGGGAGGCTCCTCTCCCTCCGGAGCTCGAGCACAGCCCCAGCCTGGAGGCGTGAGTACCTGGGGCTCGTGGGGTGGGCCTGCTCCAAGGCCCATTGCAGATGTGCCTCAATGGATGGATGGCCAATATTCACTGTGCCTGCCCACCTCCCTCTCCAAACTTCTCCCACAGCCTTGGGAAGGGGGGGATATCCCAGTTTACACCAGTAAAAAATGGCTGGAATCCAGCCCAACCAGATGAGGCTCTCGTTATTCCAGCTCCTCAGACAGACCCACAAGGTGAACCAGCTGTCCCCACATCCAGGCAGGAGGACTGTCCCAGGCAGGCAGCAATTCCTGCTCCTCCTTATCTATTCTAATGGGCTTTCCTGCAGGGCTCAGCACTTCCCAGGCTTATCTCCCCACTGATTTCAGGAGCACAGAGGGCTGAGCAAGGCCATGGAATTCACCTGTAGACAGAGTTTCCCAGAGTGTGAGTAGCTCTGCAGAGCATCCCTGGGAACAGCTTGCACTCATGTAATCTGCCAAAAAAACAGCAGCAGCAGGGACTGGGTTTGCAGGACAGGTTCCTGCACTGTACCAAACTTCCTAGGATGGCTAGAAAAGTTTCCCATTGGGTGAGATTAGGGGAGGGTGGGCTGTTCCTCTGTCCTGGGGGTCTTAAGGCACTAAGAAAGCCCAGGGGGGTAGTAAGGATAGTGCTGGCTGTAAGACATTATTTAAAAAGTGATTTCTCAGCAGCAGTGCTGTTGTGAGAGCTTACTGCATCCTTACCTTCACTCAACCCCCTGCCTTGAGCTGCCATGGCCTAGGAACAGGGGTTTGCTGCTGGATGGTGGGATGGGAATGGCTTCCCACACTCTGTGGGGTGGGAATGGCTTCCTACTGCTGGCTGCCTGATGCCCCTGACCACCAGGACCCTCCTCCCCAGCACAGAACCCAAAGACAAACATGATGTACTGTCCAAGAGCTGCAACAGGGCACGGAAAGTGCAGGAGAGACCACACACATCCCTGCATAACTGGGAAACCATGGGAAAGCTCTGATGCTAATCTGTGGGGCTTTCTTTTCCCCTGACGTGATCTCTAATGTAACTTTTTTTTTCCACGCTTTTTTTTAGTTATTTAACAGCAAGCAAACTGGAGTCCCCCAAGGTCGCTTCATCCTACGAAAACCTAAAACTGAGTGCCCGGAGGGAGCAGCTGTGCCTCCTGCACAAGCATCTTTCCCTGCAGCAGCTGGGGCTGGCGAGCCCCTGCGCCCCGGCCGAGCGGGAGGGCGGCAGCTTCCCCAGCCACCTGCTCCGGACCAGGGCTGCCGAGGGCAGGACGCGCTCCCGGGACCCCTGGGATGACCACGCAGCCCTGCTGAAGCTCCCTGCCACCATGGTGTACGTGAGGGACCAGCAGCTGGAGGAGAAGCTGCAGCTGCTCAAGCAGCGGGAGCGGCTGCAGCATCTCCTGCTGCAGCAGCGCCGGCCGGGCTCTCAGCCCCCGTCCCCGCGGCTGGGCACCGCGGCGGGCTGCAAGGAGGAGAGGCTCTTCCCGGAGGATGCTGCGGATGGGAAGGATGAGCAGGAGCTCTGGCTGGGCCGGGAGCGCCCCGAGCAGCGAGCCAGGCTGAAGGAGGCGAGGGACGAGGATGCGGACGCGCCGCTGGACCTGTCGGACTCGGGCCGGGGCCGGGAGCCGGAGCGGCGCGGCCGCCGGGAGCCACGGGGCTGCGGCAGCCCCCGGCACAGCCCCGGGCACTGCCCGGCCGTGCCCGCAGCCCGCGGGGCACACCGGGCACAGCGGGACAACCTGCACTGCCCCTTCCACTGGCCCAGCGCCACCCGGCCACCGCCTGGTGCTGCCAAGGAGGAGGAGGAGGAGGAGGAGGAGGAGGAGGATGCAGCTGTGGTAAGTACAGCTTGGCTGGCATCGTTCCCCACCCCAGGGTGCCCAGCACTGCTGCTGGGACCACTGTGACCAGCACAGTGGGAGGGTGGGTTTGATGCGTGTGAAGCCAATTACTCATGGCAGAGCTGTGGTTGCTCAGTCCTGGCTCTCACTCCCCTGCAGTGTCCCCAGGGTTTCCATCCAGGCCCAAGGGCAGGCAGTGCCTGTGCCCCCTCCCACAGGCTGCTGCAGGAGGTGCTGGGCTCCCTGCAAACACACCACAGTGCACAGGAACCTCTCTGTGATGCTTGTCCCTGTGGTTGTCACTGTCATCAAGGGCTGGGGACAATCCTCTCCTGCCTGGTGGCAGCAGCGTTTGTGCTCCCTGTGTCCCACAGCTCACGCTTTCACGGGCATATCTGACCAACAACTCCACACCGAGCGACCCAGAGGCCCTTCCTGAGGCTGGGCTGAGACGGGATGTCAGTGCACAGGACGGAGAAGCAGGTAAGAAGCCCCAGGCAAAAGTGACATTTGAGAAGGCAAGAGTGAAAGGTGCCTTCTGGTGAAGGCATTTCCCAGCCCAGAGCTTTCTGCTGGGCTCTGCACACACCTGCAAACCCACCTTCCAGAGGTGTTCCTGCCTCCCGACTCTACTGGGTCTTTGGGAGAACTTCAGGTTTCACATTTCTGTCCTTGAGAGCTCCATTTTCTACCCTAGATATGTCCAGAATTCAGGCTCAGTATGAATGGGCAGAAAGTAACCCTGGTTCTTCTGGAGAAAAGCCCAGTGTCTCTGCCCAGCACAGACAGGAGCCACTTGTGGGGTGTCCTTGCAGGCTCAGCAGAGCACCCTGCACTCCACACTGGGGGCATGGGATTCTCCAGGAGCCGAGGAGTCAGCGTAGCTCTGACCTCTTGGCAAAACCCACTCCACAATGAGCAGCAGCAGGACAATGCTGCTGCTCCAGCGTTTCCCACTCCTCTCAGGGGAAAAGTGGCCCAGGATGTCCCAGAAGAGATGGGGAAAATGCAAGAGGTTTGCAGAACTAACACTGGAAAACCATCCCTGCCTGTCCCCTTGCTCCAAAGTGTGTCCTGTGGTGACACAGCACATAGGGTTGAGCACAGAGCCAGGGATGCTGGTACCTGCAGCACGTAGATCAGGATGGTTTCCTTCCTTTCCTTGCTCCATCCTCCACAAGAGCCCTTCCAAGGCTTTCTCCCTGCCTGACCCCCAGGAGACAGAGGTGCCAGGTTTGTCCAGGCAGGTGGGAGGCAGCAGCCATGGGGATCAGGGTGGGAAGCACGTCTGCTGGGAGCTGCTCAGGACCAGCCTTACTGGCTTGGCCAGAAAGTTGAGCTCGCCTGGATTAGTTGGTCTGGGCGTGTCGGAGTGGTTTGGGAACACTCTTCTGAGCAGGATTTTTCACGGTGGAAAAAAAAAAAAAAAAAAAGAAGAGTCCTGTGTGATTTACATGCTAAGGAGATATCATCATGGCAGAAGAATTTCAGCTGATTACATTCTGGGTGTGGGAATACAGGACTTTCTTCAGTTCTCACCTTAAGCTTGACACAAAGCCGGGGAAACAATACACAAATACTTCTGCACTTTCTAGTGAACCTTGACCTGCAGAAGGATAAGGTGAGGATGGGATCAGGCTACAGGGAATCCAGGGGTGCCTGGAAGCAGCATCACCTACTCTCCCACCTCTGCAGGGGCAGCAAGAGGGGGCTGCCCTGCTGAGCTCCACCCTGGCTAGAGCTGGGTGTGATGAGCAGCAAGTATTGAGTTTTGGGGGTGTCCCTGCCCCTCAGAAGAGGGCACAGCCCTTTGTGCCCACCATGGCCAGCTGAGGTGTGTTTCTGTGTGTGCAGACAGGGTGATGCCACCAGCAGCAAGGCTTGGCCCCCAAGCCTTGGAGATGCAGGGTGTGCAGAGGTCGGGTGTGTGCAGGGACATGTCTGGGGCTGTGTAGCCCCAGGGTCTGTGTACAGTGAATTGCTTCTGCTGGGAAGGGAAGTATCTCCCCTGCCTTTCCTTCCTCTGCTCCTCAGCACACATTCCCTGCCAAGCGCTGCTGACTGAACCAGCAGCAAACGTGGGATTGTCCCTTTTGGCCTCTTCACCCCAGTACACATCTCCCCACCTGGGGCTCAAAGAGGAAGGTGCAGGCTGAGGCTTAAATACCCCCCAGTTTCCCTCCTGTGTGTAGCCACAGATGCTGGGACAGCTCTTGTGACCATGGTGTAGCAAAGTCCTGTGGATGCAGCTTTCCTGGGAGCTGGTTTCCCATTAGAGTCTTGTTGGATCACTCCTAAACATTCATTCCAGGCTTGCAGTGCCTCTGCTTCACAACACAGTTTATTGCTGAAGCTGCTTCCTGCCTCAGTGGCTCTGTGAGCCTGGGCCAGTGGCTCTGCATCTGCTCCTGAGCTTGCCAAGCCTCCCACCAGCCAAAACCCTTATTTTTGTGTTTCTTTAGATGACAATGATGCCGAGTCTGGGAAGCAAGAATCTGATGAGCCAGACACAACGGACAGTGAGGTTAGTTTGCTTGTTCTCCTCAGCCATCAGCTCGGGCTGCCAGACCCCAGGGGCATCAGACAGGCTGTCCCAGCCCTACCTCCCCCTAGGAGGTGATGGCTCTTCCTGCACTAGGTGCCAAACCTCATTCCCACCCTGTTGTACATCTTGCTGCTGAGGGGTAGATGTGCCACTCTCCCCAGCCAGTCAAGAGTGTTTATGAACACTAGCATTTGTCATCACTCCATAGAGATGGTCACAAAGGTCCCTGGCAAAGCCACCAGCTCCCTGGGAAGGCCAGGGTGGTTTGCAGACTGGCTGTTCTTCTCGTTGGTGTAGGAGAAGTATGAAGATGAGATCCTACAAGAAGCTGAGGCTGACGGGAAATATTTTTGCACCAAAGACAAAGCTCATGTGCAGCAGAGGAAGAGAAAAAGAGGACAGGATCCCTGGATAAAAGGTAGGGAGAAGTTCCTTGGGGCATCAGCTCAAGGCTCCAACTTCTGCTGCTTCCAGAAGAATTCCTGTGAGAAAAGCCCAAGGACAGGGGAGAGGAGTGTTCTCCTCTGTGCTCCTCTCAGCCATGTTTTGGCAACACTCATATCTCCAGCCAGAGGAGCCCCAGCTAATGGTTAGCCAGGACAGCCTGGGCAGAGAGCACCCCAAGCACCTAAGCTAACAGAGCTTAGTCTCTCGTGTTTGCTTATCTGGTCAGGGAGGTGGTGACTGGGGAAGGCCAAATTCCCAGGGCTGAGTTATTGACATTCAGAAAAAGGTTTCTGCCCGTTCTGTTGATCTTCCAGTGTGGCTGTGGAGGTTTCCCTGCTGACAGAGGAATGTGTTGTACCCATGTTTCCTGCAGGTGAATAAGCAGAAAACTGCTCCTGATAAGGGCAAGGATAAGACAGTTTGTCTGTCAGGCCTTAAAAAATGCTCTGTCAGAAGAGCCCTGCTGCTCACCCACTCCGTCCTGCTGGTAAAAACAGCAGCGTTGGCCCAACCATAAATGTAGAGAGGGCTGTTGCTTAAGCTTGAAGGGAGCTTGTTTAACAGCCTGGCCTTCAGAGAGCCCTGCTCAGTCAGGGGACACCACCACAGCCGGGTGACAAGAGGATTTGCAGTATAAAACCAGCCACTTGGAGCAATGGGGAGGAAGCTGTGCTGTGTAGCCCAGGGCAGACACATCCGACCCTCCAGGACTGGATGGGGATGTCCCAGGTGAGGGGTGGGTGCAGCTGTGGCAGGAATGGGGTGATGGAGGGGTGTAGGACCTCTCTCAGCATGTGCTGTGGGCCATCAACCATACCAGAACGGGGAGAAACCCACAGAATGCATCTTGCTGGTCTGGGTACCCTGTCAGAAACGTTTCTGCATCAGATCAGTTCTCTGCCTGTTTCTGCTTCACGTGTTGTTTTGTGTCAGGATCACAACAGCCTCCCCTGGATACCCACACATCTCACATGTGAGGGGTTGCTCTTCATCTTTCCTGTGCTGAGCTTTGCTTCCTGCTGTGCTGTCCCTGTTCTGGGATGAGGCCATGCTGACTCCAGAAGTGTAAATCCATTTCTCTGTGGTTAACTCCTGCTGTCATCTGCCTGTTTACAGGATCTAAGAAGTCAATGAGAGGAAAAAAGAAAATCAAAGTGGAGCAATGCCCAGTGGGGATCACAAAGGAACTGGAGAATTGCTCTGCTTCCCACAATGATCCCTCCAAGGACAGTTAACAGCAGGGCAGGACAGAGCAACTGCAGACCAAAGGACAGAGCTCAGAGACCTCAGAATCCCACCCATGATGGGAGAGTGAATCCTCCTGTCATGCTGGGCCAGGCAGTGGGGAACTCATAAGGACTCATTTATGAGCAGAGCACCCTGAAAGTCCTCACTCAGTGCCACAGGAGAGGCTGGGCAAGGATGAGCCATGCAGGTGACACCTGGATCAGCCAGGTCACTGCTGGTGGAGCCCCACAGTCAGTGATCCCAGCCCTGTGCCAGAGCAGACCCTCAGACTGGAGGTGGGGAGAGGAGATGTCTCTTTGGAACCCTCACCCTGCATCAGAACCATGTTCTTCCTGGGATTTCACTCTTGGAGAAAGGACTACCAGATCCTCGTGAAGGATGTCCCAGTGGCTGGCTGAGGGGTGGTGACCAAAGCAAACACTGCAGAACCTCATGCACAAACCTGCTTCAATTAAATCTCTGCCCAGTTTTCATACACACATGGGTCTTGTCTGACCTGGGGGAAGTCCACGGTTTTCTCTTCTAGTTAAGTGAGGAGCAAGTACAAGGGCAGGCAGGTGGGATGTGTCCCTGGAGAGGGCAGGGAGGGTTTGGATGCTCCCTCTCCCCCGTGTGTCCTGCATTGCCTGGAAAAGGTCAGTGTGTGAGACCCAGCTGCAGCTCACAGCAGAGCACCAGCTCAGCAGCTCACACTGACCTTGGCAGGATTGCTGGGAGCTATTTTTCACATGGATAAACTGTTCTTAGTAATCTTTTTCTGATGAGATGAGATGGGAAGGGCTGCAGTGAGCATCTCTGCTCACAGCATCGATCCAGGAGCCAGGCTGGGCTGTTCCTGGCACACAGGTGGAGAGAACAGAACAGAGACAAAACAGAGCCAGCGAAGTGCCAGACCAATTCCTGTTATGGTGCACTCCCACTTCCTTTTCCTGCAGTTATTTCTATTTAAACGTGGGGTTTTTGCCTGTTCACAAGAACGAAGGCAAAGCACAGCCAGACAAGAGCAGCACCCTTTGCTGGTAGCACCTTCCCATCTCCAAAACCCTAAAATGCCATTCAGGGAGCCCCGGCTGCGGGGGAGCCGGGCCGGGAGGGTCCAGCAGGGCCCGGGGCAGCCTCGCATGCACCCAGCGGGGCGGGAGCGCTGCGGGACCGGGAGCGGGAGCGGTGTCGGCGGTGCGGGCTGTGCGGGACTGGGAGCGGTGCAGAACCGGGACCGGGAGCAGGAGCGGGAGCGGAGCGGGATCAGGGGCGGCGCGGGCGATGCAGTACCGGGACCTGGGGCAGTGCGGAACCGGGACCGGGAGTGGTGCGGACAGGGACCGGGAGCGGGAGAGGGAGCGATGAGGACGGTGCAGGACCGGGAGCGGTGCGGGACCGAGAGCGGTGTGGGGGCAGTCCGGGACCGGGAGCGGTGCGGGAGCAGGACCGGGAGCGGTGCGGGGGCGGTCCGGGACCGGGAGAGGTGCGGGAGCGGGACCGGGAGTGATGCGGGCGGTGCGGGAGCGGGACCGGGAGCGGTGCGGGAGCGGGAGCGGTACCGTGAGCGGTGCGGGCGGTGC